GGATTCCATTCCACCATTCCGCCCTCTGCCTCTGTGTCTCCATTCCACTCCGCGTTCCGTCTTCCTGATTCCACTTCTGCCTTTCCACCCCCCCCCCCCCATTGATTACATCAGCATGCATCCACATGCCCCCTTGTCGTCCTGTTCCTGACGACGGCCTCCTGGCCATCAGGCACCATCCTCACTCCCTGACGGGCCCACCCCCTTGTTCCTCAGAGCCTGGACTGTTCCTGGGTCCGGATCTTCCATCCCGCATGAGAGATGTGTCATCGAGCCTCGACCATCTCGATCTTGCTTTCCGGCCCTTCCATGTGCTCCGGGAGATTGTCCATGACATTGAGTGCATATCCAGATCTTGGGATCTTTGCGTATCTATCTCTTCCCATTTATTCCTCTCCTTTCCATGTGATTTTCCTCCGGACTCTTTCCCTTCCGCTTTTCCGCCTTCTATCCTCTCCATGGCAGCACTAGTGAGGATGGCACTTGGGATTTTCTTTGTCTCCATCCTGTATATAGTCTGCTAGTTTCCTGCTCAATTTAGCACGTTTCCTCTCCCCTCCAGTGTGTTGTGCGAGTTTCCGTCCTTTCCATTTGAGTTACGGATTGATCAGTCTTCAGAGTGTTCCAGTGTGTTCGCTGTTGACTTCCGAGTTTCTAGTCGGGTTCCTATCAGTATCCTCGTCCTCCTCTGTTGTCCCCTTCCTCCTCCATCACTCTCCATTCCCCACTTTCCATTCCACCATGTGGATTCCGTTTGGATCATGTTCCATATCCATCTCACAGGTTTTCCCTCTGTCTGTTCTTGACCTACACCCCTATGGGTCAATCTCCGAGTCTCTGTGCTCACCCCTACTACCCATCTTTCACCAGTCATACATGATCATGGTGTTTACTGTACCCATAAGGAAAGATGAATCCATAAGGAGAATTATTGGAAGCTATAGGTGTTAAGTCGTAAAGTCAACAAGTGGACCCTGCATCATTTCTCCAAAATATCTAAGATAGGCCGCACTCATACTCATACGTGCTTGGCAACATGCCGAGTCTGTGACCCGTCGTGACTGCATTGCCACTGGCATGTTCGACGACTCAACACCTCGAGGCCCATAAGTACGAGTCTTAAATCCCAGCCTTCGCGAGACATCCTCGCCCTTGTGATCGTCAATGAACTGGCCAGTCGGGGTCCTCGTCTGTCGATACCCTAGGACTTTTATCCATTGTTGGGCCATTGTGAGTGAGATAGGCCGTGTAAGTCCGATTCTTGCCTGCACCTCCTTGTTCTTGATGTACTCCACAATGCCCTGAGCGCGCACGTACATCCCAATCCCCTGCAGGACTGAGGTTCAAGGGGACCATTCATGTTCACTGTCCAAGGCCGCATCACTGCACATGTGTCAGGACTTCGTCCTGAGCATCTCCGCATTCCGTAGAATGGCTCCGCACTCATTCCGTTCCCATTCATTCATTCCGTCCCCATTCCTATCTCCATCCCGTTTCCCTTCCATCTCCGCCTATGCGGAACTCATAGGAGTACATGTATATACTGAGGACTTCTTCCCTCTTCACCGGATTGATCCCCGAGGCTCTCCTCGTGGTTCCCTTCCTTTTCCGTACCTTCCA